ATTATAATTAGTTAATGTTTTAAATTGCTGTATTTAAAAGTTATTAATTTAAGTATTATTGGTTAACAAATACAAACTTTAATTTAATTATTATTTAATTTAAGTTTTATATTCACAATCAGTAATTAATAAATTATCTTATATCATAGTATGAGAAAAAAAGTAAACATTTATTCAATGAATTTGTTTTAATGATATCATTTGTCTCAAAAGCAATGAACATTTTAAACAAAATCTTTCATAAATAATATGAATTCTCTGAAATAACATTAAAGAATTTAAGCAATAAATTCATACTTAGAAATAAAGATAGTCGTTCATATAGGGACGGGTATTGGAATAAAGTTACAAAAAATTAAGTATAAGATTATTATTTGGTGACTTCAAAATCCATTTGTGTTTGCAGTTCATTATCGGGTTGTCTTTGAAGGGTATCCATCCGTTGTGTGATAATAATCCTTAAAAGGTTTGCCATTCGCTCTAAGAGTGGGTCATTAATCCGCTGCAACTCCGAGATGTGTTGAACCATTCCGGGCGACAATTCTTGACTCCTTTTTCCATGTCCGCCAAGACATGAGTGGCCGTATTGCTGACATTTCTTACCTTAAGGTGTTTTACATTTATTAAATCAAATGTTACTATTTTATACATTTAATTATCTTGACACTCAATTTATGCAGTATATTTTATAATTATAATGCAAATGTAATAAGAATATAACAATTCTTAAGAATATCTTACCGTTTGCTTCACACGATTGGAAAACAATAGAAAATATAACAATTATAGCATATATTGCTGTCAATGAAGTGAATATTCGTTGATAACTCATATTTGGTGTACAAATAGTGCACAAATTCTTAACACAAATCTTATCACAACTTATGTTCTTTACTGTATAACTGAAAGCAGAATAAGTGTACAGAGTTTTTATAAGCCTAAACACAAAGAGTGGGTTTTATGCTAATGTAGTCTCATATTATTGTCACAAATATTCATTAAGATATTAAAAGAAAAGGTTACATATGAAAACAAGTGCACTATTTACAAAATATATTTCAAAGCAATCCATCTAATAATATGGTCTTTTGCACTAATGATAACTTAATACATATTATTTGATATATCTTAAGAAAAATATTGCAAAAATTAAATAAATATTTATTGTCTACAAAGAATCCATTAGGAGTCGATTAAACCAATTTTGTGTAATTGGTTTTAATGAAAAACAATTGAATAGATTAAAGATTGACTTTGAAATATAAATAGAAAGCAAATTAAGAAAAAGTTATATTAAGAAAAAGTTATATTAAGACAATACATGTATTTTCACGTCAATTCAACCCATACTTCTTTTCCCCTCCTTCTGGTCTTTGACTCCAATATTGATTAAGAAACTGTTTGTCAATTCCGGCATTTAGTTTATGTCATCTTTATAACAGTAATGTACGACTACTTCATATTTCGCAACTATTTTTCAATTATATTTCCCTTTTACAATGTAAGTTTTTTGTTGTAAATCTAACTGTAAGAATAACTAGAATTATAATTTATAACTACAATAATTATATTATAGTTTATAAGTTATATATTTAGGCTTATACTGTAGTAGAATATATAATGTACTAAA